AGTTTGAAGAAGCATATTAAGTACTATGATATAGTTTTCTACGGAGAAGGAATCCATTGTTTTCATGATATAAACTACAGAAAAGATGTGAGTCTTTTGTATATTTTTAAACATTTGGCAAAATATTATTAAATATATTGAGAAACACTTGGGTAGAACATAGTACCACTATAGTAGCTTATAGTCAAAGCTCAAACAATGCCCGTAATACATCTTTTTCCTTTAAAAAAATTGCCATTAATCTCATTTTAATGTGTTTATTTTTCTAATGGTTCTTGTTTGTAGGACCCAAGTTAATATTCTGGGGTAAGTATGATTGCTAAAACATTAAGACTTAAAACTATATACCATGAACAGGACACAGACGTGAATGGAAACAGTTTCATTTCATCTGTGGAGGCCAGATGAAGTTAAAATGAGTAACATTTCAGACATCTAATCAAGTTCTGAGCTAAGATAACTTGTAAGGTTATAGCAAGTAGGAAGTCAAACTCCACTGAGCCCCTTTAACTTTTTCAGAGCATGTAACAATCTTTCATCTATAATTTTTTAGACTCTTATATGATAATCTCGATAGCAACATTTTTGTAGACGAAGTAGGCATAGAAAAGTTCAATGAATTTCCTAAGGATACATAGCTTATTTGTAGGGCTGATTCTAAGTAGACCCAGTGGGTTCAGATAAGTAAATCTTTTAGTCACCAGTTGAATTCTTCGGTACAGGTTAAAGTATTAACACTATGTGCTATAACTTAATAATGTTTAGGTCATTTCCTTGCTAAAATTACTTCCTGGTCAGCATATATATCTGATTAAGATGATTGGAAAGAAAAGATTTAGTCTAATTCACAGTTGAGGGTGGGGAGCAATTTTTCATCACCTTCTTCTCTCGATGGTGAAGATTGTGATATCCAAGATAGAATTTCCTTCTTTTCTTTTCTTGTGCTGTCAGGATTCCCAGCAGAGTGTTACTGTGGTCCTCTTTCAAGATGAGAATACATTAGTCTCAGCAGGAGCTGTGGATGGGTAAGAGTCTATTTCTTGGTTCTTTTGATGAGGTCTCTTTTATGAGCTAAGATGGGGAAGTCACCTAGTCCCATTGTAATTGAATGTGTGTACTTTTAACTTTCAACGTAGCAAGTATCCTAGCTGAGAAAAGGAACTACAGATCACACTGGAAAATACCTAGTTAGGACTCTTGCTAAACTCATTAAATGAGATAATACATGTGTCATACTTAGCACATAGTGTAGCACTAGGAGCAGTGTTAGCTGCTGCTGCTATCTTAGAGAAGAAGCTGGATGAGTAGTTTGCTTGCCTTATATACAATATAATTTAGTTACTGAATCTTATTTTGAGGAGTAAGATTTCTATTACTTTGGATTTTATCTTTTCAGGTTTAAGAATATCCTAAAAGAGGAAATCTGATTCTGGGCATGTAATTGTCATTCCTGGGAGTAATATTGCTAGATTGATGATGGAAAGGCCAATGACTTTCTCATACCTGCCATCTATGATTAGTCTGAATTTTTGGCTTCCAAATAAGTCTGTGATGTTTATTGATTGATTGCTTTGTAGAATATAAATTCTTTGCATGTAAGGACTCTTTCTTTTTAAGCTCCCTTATTTTATCTCCTTAACGTCCCTCCCTCTAAAAATTTTAATTTGAAAGATCATGGCTTACTAAACTAGGATTTCCATTGTCTCTGCTGGACACTAAAACCCTTCTGTGAAACAAATTCTCAGGCAAGAACGAAGAATTATTTAAAGGTTATTAGTTATGTTTGTGAATGGCTGCAAAAGCTTATTCTGTTTGTTTCCAACGATACTGCCATTACATGTTATACCAAGCTTGTGTTTTCAAGTTGCCTGCAAACAAGAAGTAAAGGATTAATACAATTATAGCAATCGATGAATTGAAAAGATACTTTTCTCTATTTCACAGGAAAATTGTTTAGACTAGATTACTTAAGGAGTTATATATAGTGATATAACCATAGGAACAGAGCTTGCTACTTATGATGTCAAAGGATATATTCAGAATATTAAAGGCTTAGGAAGTGTTTTTTCTAAAAACAACGAAACAATGACTATCGGCACCCAACCTTCATCTTCCTTTTCCGCTCCCTTGAGTAAACTTCAGTAACCCATTACTGGGTCAAATCACATCTGTTTCCGTTCTGTCAGAATTATAAATCTGACATTGGAGACAACAGTGTAAGACAGTTCAATTTGTTTTCCAATGAGATGTCCTCACTGTACTTGGTTAGTGTGCCAGAGGAGGTAAATTAAAAGTCATAATTGAAGTTATTTGGGATTGGGAGAAAGTCTACAAAATAACTATTTATTTGCCTTGGTTTTTAGGATAATTAAAATATGGGATCTGCGTAAGAATTATACTGCTTATCGACAAGAACCCATAGCAGCCAAGTCTTTCCTATACCCAGGTAGCAGCACTCGAAAACTAGGTAAGTCTTTTCATAGACTATAGGACTTTTGGGGGAAATATGAGTTTTTGTTAAAATTAAAAACAAAAAAAATTAGGCTGGTTTTCAGCGACATAGACTAGAGAAACTCTAATATGTGGTTTTATCTTTTTGACATTCAAAAGATAAAAATTCAGAATATTTTTGGTTTGTGTATATTTTGGGGTCAGAATTCTGATGATGATTCTTGTGGATAAATCTGTTTTCAGATCTACTCACCTTCATCAGGGCATGCTAACTAAAGTTTCCTTTTTTCCAGGATACTCAAGTCTGATTTTGGATTCCACTGGCTCTACTTTATTTGCCAATTGCACAGATGACAACATCTACATGTTCAATATGACTGGATTGAAGACTTCTCCGGGTAAAATATTAGTCATTCAAATTCTCTTACCAGGAAACTAATATGGGCTTTTTTGTTAGTGAAAATTTAAGGGATTTTTTTCCCCTAAACCAAACCTATTAAGCCATATGAGGATTTTAGTGTCTTTGATTAGTTCAAGTGATATTTTCGTAAGTGTATATTCCTTGTGATTATTTTGTAAGTAAACAAAATCCTGCTCTTTATGATGACTTTATCTTAATAGTGAGTCTCCTGAAATTATGCCCCTTGGCCTGTATTTAGAATTACCTCAATTTTCTATTTAATAAGCTGTGGGGTAGAGAAAGTTGTTCTGCTCAACTTTTGTCCTCTTTGGGGGCTGTTAGTGAAAATTAGGGGGCTTAATTTTTCAGACACCCAGAATAGTTCCAACCTACCTCAGCCTTCTCCGTAATGTTGGACAGAGGCCATTTTATCTCTTTAGGTGTTTTCCCCAGCTTTACCTTTTTTTTCCCTCGGTAATATAAAAATATAATCTGATTCTTAAAACAAATAAATGATATTTTTAAAAAGAAACACGTTTCTCAAGTATGCTTTAAGAGGGTTATGTGGGTTACATTATTTTTAAGAATACAATCTACTACATAAGCAAGCTACATATTAGTAGTCTGGTTCTTCCTCAGCTACAGATCTGTCAAAAATACTTTGAATTCCGTGAGCAATCCCTAGAGCGACCCAGTTCCTACTAAAGTAAGATGTACTGGTAAACAAATCTCAAAATAGTACAGAACTCAGATCATTTTATCTGGGATCTTACAAAAGTTTCCAAAGATTGCCCCAACAGTCTTACTAGGACTTTATATCTGTGATGGTATCACAATTCACATTTCCAATGCTTTGAATTAGGTCTGGTGTTCTCTGAACAAGACAAGAGCAAGAGTATTTGGAAAAGGGGAGCGGTTTTATAACTTCTTCTGTTGTTTTTCATAATGGAATCAGAACTTGGAGAACTACCTTATTTAGTTAGTCACATAAAATAGACTTTTCAAAATCTTTCCTCAAAAGATAAAACCTAGTCCTGATTATATTATCAGTTGTACAAGAGCTCTTTCTATATAATTTTTGCTACAGTGTCACTCAAAGGGGCCTTGAGTTTAGTTTGTCCCTCTGCCATCAAACACTTTGCTAATAATTTAGTAACCTTTTTCTATGCTCCTAAAAATAATTTGATTTGCTCAGATAGATAAATACATAGGTAGATACATGGAATCATAGATTTGTTCCTGAAAAATTGAATGACAGCCAAATGTGTGTGTAACATCTGGTAATTACTTATTTTTTTCAAAACTTCAGAAAGGATCTTGGGCTCAATACTTGATCTACCATACTTTTTATTTACAATATTATACTATATAAGTGATGCTCATAAGAATGACTCTCAGGTACTTTCAGAGCTTTCAAAGAAAGATTAAATTGAGCTAATTAAAGCCAATATAGGATACTCAGGAGGTTGAGTAGGGAGGATCACTTGAGCCAGAGTTGGAGGCTGCACTGAGCTATCCAGTGTTGTCCAGCCTGGGTGACAGAGCAAGACCCCATCCCTAAAAAAAATTTTTTTAAATAAATGAATAAATAAAAATAAAGCCAATATAGGTTTTAGAAGGATTTTTAGCAAGATTTGGAACATTTACAACGTACTTAATACTAGCCTGCCTTAGACCAGCAGAGGGCAATAAATACTTACAGGTAGCATGGGAAATTTGGTGTATATTTTTTTCATTCATAGTTTAGAGTTGAGGGAGATGAAAAATTACAGTTTTGAAGCAGTGTTCAGAATAGAGGAATTTGTTGATTTTGGAAGGATCTATCTATCATAGCAGGTTTATAATATGTATATCTGAATTGATTCAGATCCTGCTTCACTTTGACAGTAAAAATGTCTGACATAGGTAGTATTTGCTATGGTGGCTTTTTCCTTAAAAGCTAAAAATACAGAGTTCTTCAGTTTTATTCTAGAACAAGGGAGAGATTTCTGTGAGAATGGATGAAAAGCTGTTAAGTCCCTTACTAATACTTCTCTCTCTCTCTATTAAAAGTTAGAGTGTAATTTTTTTTTCCTGCCTAAATGTATCTTAAATTCTCCAGTAAAGATTTTTCTCTTGTATTTCCTAGGAGTGTTCTGATGCCAGAGGCTTCAGGTTTTGGCCTCATTAGGATAGAAGAACCTGTC